ATAACATTTCTAGGGGGAAAGCTCTAATCATGTCAAATAAAGACAATGTTCTACAAATGTACCTGTACAGAAATGTTGAAATATGCCTGAGTTCAAGGAGCTCAAAAAAATGTCATCTTGAGGTATTGAACATATACTTAATAATATAAATGGAACAATATTTTTAAGGAATAGTTATGATCAAGTAGATGTAATAAAATATTTAATGATCTGGTGAGGCTTTATTTGACTATTATTTTTATTTCTCTTGATGTAAGACATTTTCAGGGCTTTTCTACCCATCCACACCAGGTCCCAAGCACTAAGGGAGACTTAAGAATGAGACTTACACATGAGGGAGCTATGTTGTAGCCTTTACAAGCTCACAGGGTTTATAAAACAAGATTAATTAACTGTGAAATGAGAGAGAGAGAGTGTGTTAAAGGGCCATAAAGGTGGTACACACAAAGCAATGTGAACATCAAATAAATTATATTTTAAACTATATGAATTATATTTTATATAATTTTGTGTCTTGAGTATATAAACTTATATCTACATAAACAAAAATTTATGAACATAGAGTATACATAAATAAATGTAAATAATAAAGAAATAACAAAATCTATGTTATATACATTATATTTTATATGATTTGTATTTTGAATATATATAAACTGTATCTACACAAACATAACTTAGATGCTAAAATTCTTAAATAAAAAATTATGATTGGCTGAAATAATTAGAACACAAACCAAACAGGATTATTAAGAACCATTGAATAGGCACCGAGCTCAGTGGTGCACACCTGTAATTTCAGTGGCTCAAAAGCCTGAGGCAGGAGTTCAAAGCCAGCCCCAGCAAAAGTGAGGTGCTAAGCAACTCATTGAGACTCTGTCTCTAAAATACAAAATAGACCTAGGATGTGGCTCAGTGTTTGAGTGCCCTTGAGTTCAATCCCTGGTACCCCCTGCCTCACCAAAAAAGAGCCATTGAATAGGTGCTTTTCCTTTACCTCAACCATCTGCACTCTCCCATGATACAGTCGATCTGGCCGGGGGTCACTTGACTCCTCATGGATGATGGACATGTGCTGACCCTGTTGAAAGAAATACATGAAAGTACCAGTCCTTGGTTAGGATGTTTTATGATTTACAATTTATGTAAAAACAAATATCTATGGATCTACATTATTTGAAAAGCTCGACTCTAAAACGTAGTTCAGGTAAAAGGATTAACAACATGGAAAGAGAATAACAGCTAATACAGTGATTTTCACATGTAGAAAATTAAGAAAATTGGCTTAACTGAAAAATGACTTAAAAAGATGGAGACAATTTTTTAAAAAGTATCCTGCTTTGCAGTAAATGCATGTGGTGCTGTTTTCATCACTGCTTATAGTGCCAGATTGTGGTAGCAGGAAAGTGCTTTTGTGAGTGGGTGACTGGAGTGGGAGGGAGAAAGCAAGGGTTGGCAGAGCCCAGCTGTGAAGCTTGCCTAGGCCTGGAACCACACAGCTGGTGCGTGGAGGGAGGAATTAGCTTGTAGCCTTTGTCCTGTGGGATCCAGCCTTGCTCACTCTCAGCCTTCACCCCTGAGCCATTACACTGGCTCTTAGGGGGCTTTTAATAGAGCAGAATGGGATGATGGGCACCTCCCATCAGCAACCCTACCTCAAGCACACACACAGAATAGCCAACTGTGCTGTGGGACCTCCAAATCTGAAGGCGTTCCATTCATGAGGACTGGGGTTTCAGAAAGAAGAGAATTATCTAGAATCAAATCATTTAAAGCCTTAATCTAAGAAACATGCCCGAAAGGCTCTTAATTATAGTGGTTTAGAACAAAGCAGGGGAGTAAATGTTTCATGAGCCTAAACCATTTTCCAAGTTTAAAGGTAAAATTAAGGAGAAATTTTGGTCATTACCTCTCAGTGAGTTCCAACCGTTTGCATAATCAACTCCGGCACTAAAAATAAATACACTGATAGCCTGAACTGAGATGCCCTACAAAACCATGAAAACCGAAACACAGCATGCTGTAATAATATTTTTATTGGGTAGCTATTTCTCCTTAGGCTATAACTTGAAAATCTTTCCTACTTTATTTTCAAGATGACCTGCAAAGGTTCCTTGGGGTTTTTGAAACATTTCAATATATTTGCTTATGACAATAAATAAAACATACCATGCCCGAACATAAATATCTACCAAGCATGGGAAGCTCTCAGCTGAGCTATGTGAAACTTGCCAGTCCCTGTTGATAGTGACTGACATGAGAAAACCCTTCAGGAAGTTGCAGTTGCATTGAATTTAATCAGGAGCATATAAACCAGAGATGATGTATTAAGAACTGTGTAATGTTTTGAACGACCAACAATAAAAAAAAAAGATAATAAATGTTAATTTTTTTAGCTGTCATATCTAGAGGAATTCATCACACAGCAATAGATAACTAATAGCAAGCATATCAAGCCCAGAAGTTGGGAGAGACACGCTAAACAAAGTCCATCAATCTATCCTTCATTTGATATGTCTGTCATTACATTGACAACACAATGATAAGCTAAAAATATGTTTCTCGTGTACTGTATATCTTGAACTCCTAATAAACCATTTATCAATGATTTTTTTAAATGCATGGAAAAAAAAAAGGAAATGAGGCCACCTTCAGGCTATGGAACCCGATATCTGCATTTGAAATACCATCCTACAACGTAGAGGATGCAAAGTAGGATATGACATCACCCTGCCTCAAGGAATTTTCCAGATTGCAGGTCTCAATTGTGAACCAGGCACATAGAGTGTGGATGCTACTTCCACCAAAGCCAAAGTAGCCCCCCACTATCTATATCAAGTTAACTTCATAGCATATCAGTAAGCACTCTCCCTACCCTTCCTGGTTTGTTTTTAATAATTCACACCCACTGACAAGACAGCCAAGTCAGGCTGGTCTCCCTTGAGCACTGCCTCCCACCCTGCTCTGCCCCATACACCTGGGTTTCCCTGAGTTCTTTCTCTTGGAGAGGCATTTCTCCTCTTGTATCCATTCTTAAGGACTTGGCTCAAAAGGAATCTGTTCCATGAAGCCCTCTGCAGGCCTCTCAGCCTAGATAACTTCCACCTGGACTCAGCCTCCAGCTCCAATACAGCTTGTTTATTCTTAAACATTTACTGCTCCGTGGATTAAATCATTTGCCAATTTATCCAGTTCCCCCCTTTTTAGAGGACAGAGTTACTCATCCTTTACAGAGCCCAGCAGTGCATGTGACAAGAGCTCAAAAACATTAATGAAACTAAATCAAAAGACAGAAGCACAAAAATATACAACATGAAACAGTTACTTGTGAGAAACAGGGTTGAAACACAGTTAAATGCTTTGGGGGTAGGGGGTGCCATTTGGTCAGAGGATACAGGATCCTTTTCTGTTTCTCTGATACATTGGAAAACAACTGTATCCAAACTTTTTGTAGGCCACACATCAAGATGTCCTCAATTTAGCTCAGCACAAACTGCAACCACTGTTTCTGCTACTTGAGTTGTGTTCTGATACCTACAGTGAGCTGCACATCTGGCTTTTTTTCCAGAAGAACCATGTCACCAGGTAAGCCAAATGACTTGACTTGATAAGTGAGGAAGCCACCATATGAAGAAACCTAGAATGAAGTAACAGCATAGTGTTAAAAGAGATGATGCCAATATTAACCCAC